CCGGCACAGGACACTCAGTGGCTCCCAACCATGCAGAGGCGCTGACGCCCGCCCTCGGAGGGCCAGCTCAACTCTGGCCAGGGGTCACTGTGCGCCCCGGGGTGCCAGCCACACCCTGCCGTCCACCTGGCTCCCCCTGCACCTGCACCTGCCAGGCGGCTCCCCTTGCACGGTGCCTTCCCTTTCTATGGGGCCGGTGCTTGGCATCAGCTCAAAGGCGCCAGTCCCTCGCTTCCTTCAGCACCCAGAGAACACGCTCACCCATGGGGCTGACACACGGCACTCACTTCCTTCTGGGTCCCCGTGGGGCTGGGACACCCAGAGCCACACACCTGTCCCGGTGCTCACGGGAGCCACTGCCTCCACCCGCCCGTCCGCTGACCTGGCTGCCCTGTCCCCGTCCCTCAGCTGTCACCAGAGACCACTGAGGTGTGACCGGAAGGCCCCCGTGACAGTGCGCAGGGCACACACAGGTTAGGAGCAAAAGGGGCCCCTCAAAAGCAGGCACAACTGGTCACAAGTGGGCAAAACCACGTCTGAGCCCCCTGAGAACTGCCAAACTGGAGACACAGGGTGGGGCAGACTTGATGCGGGCTTTTCATTTCCTTTCTGCAGCTCTGGGCAGCAGGCCGGGCCGCTCAGCTGCCATCAGTGAAGCGCTCCAGTGCAGAGTGCGGAGGTTGCTGCGAGGGTTTCGCTGTCTTCCCCAGAATGAAAGACTCTGGACCGCGCAGACCTGGCGCTGAGGGTGGATGGGGCAGGGATGGGGCATCCGTGGGGTCAGGAGGGGAAGGGAGAAAGCCAGCGCCAGCGCCGGCCTGTGGGAGAGCCCCAGCTCTGCTGCTTCCTGCCTCGGAACCCCGGGCAAACCTGTCTCTTGCGCCTCGGGCTCCTGTCTGTGAGGAGAGCACTGACCTCAGGAGGGGCTGCCACCACCCCAGGCCCTCTCTGGCTTCCTTCCTCTTGGCTCAGCAGGTCCTGTGGGCTGCTGAGCCTGGGGCGGTGCCAGAGCCCCGGGCGCCCCTTGACCCGACCCTGGGCCTCAAGGTCGGGAAGGAGACAGGGTGGGGAGCGCGGTGGCCACAGCTTAGGTGACACTGAGGCTGTCCCCCCGGAAGGTCTCAGGAGCTCCCCTGACTGTCTCTGGGATGCCCATCTCCTCCTGAGCCCCGCACGCTGCCTCAGGCACACCCTGCCAGGCTCGCCCTCTGTGCCCCACTGCTGCCCGCAGGGGCCCGGTGACCGCAGGGGGTGAGGCTGGCAGCGGCAGGGCTCCCGCGTTCCAGTGGGAGCGTCGCTGTTACCTGGGAGGACGGCCAGGGCGATTGTTTAGAAAAACCTTATAAAAAGTAATGGCAGCGGCAGGGCTCCCGCGTTCCAGTGGGAGCGTCGCTGTTACCTGGGAGGACGGCCAGGGCGACCAGGCAGGCGTCGTCCGGGCCCAGCTTCTGGGCCCCGCACCAGTACTTCCCCGAGTCCTGCAGCGTGAGGCCCCTGAGGGTCACCACGAGCGCCAGCTCTCCCGGGCGGTCCAGGATGGACGCGCGGCCCTGCCTGACCTCCTGGCCGTCCTCTCCGGAGAAGATCTTGTTGGCGCAGCGGGAGATGAAGACGCCGACCTCCCTGCACCAGTACTTGGGGCGCGTCCTGAGCGCCCCCTCGTAGGTGCACCGCAGGGTCACCGTGTCGCCCTCGAACGCGCTCTCCTCCTCCGGGCAGGTCAGGGCGGCGGACGCTGAAACCCGAGGGTGAGGCCGGGTCAGGGCCGGAGGCTCCGCGCGGGAGCAAGGGAGGCGCGGCACCCTCCCATCTCGGC